AAACACAGCGGCATGTGCACGTTCCCCAACATTCCTGCAAAGTTTTGTTGAAATTGGTCCACAGGTTTAGAAGTTGACCGACGAGCAAAACCCGTCTATATTGACAAGTTGCTATGGCAATCAATATTTCGAGGGAAAATGGTGCATGGACATCTACACATTGTCCTGAATATTACTGAAAAGTTTCATTGGAGTTGTCCAGACAAGATGTGTCTACAGACAGACAAACAGATGGATGGACTGATAGACAACCTGATTCCAGTTTACCCACCCTTTTGGTGGTATAAGAATGCACAAGAGTGCTTACAAATTCCATGTAGACAGGCATTATGGAAAAATAATAATAATAATAATAAATGATACATATGCTTATATCTTGTTTTATTCAGTTTTTAGATACAGTATTCTTTCCATGCTTTGATCAGCAATGTAATCTTGTCATGTAAATATCCTAGTACAAGATTGCATACACAAAATTGTTGTAGGTAGACTTTTAAGATACATAAAAAAATACATGCCTAAGTTTAAATGAAGGTTTTAAACAGAAGTCGTATTATGTTCAGTATACAGTGATTTTTCTAGACAGTTGTAAACTATAAACTCGGTATACAGTGATCTTTTCTACACATTTGTAAACAACAAACTCAGTATGCAGTGATCTTTTCTACAAAAAGTTTTTTTTTTATATATTGTATACACTAAACTCAGAAAAAGAATAAATAAGTAAACCTTTCTATGTACACTACAAACTCAGTATACAGTGATCCTTTCTACACAAACTTGGTATAACTAGTGAATCTTTCTACTCAAGTAAATTGAAGATAGTATACAAATTTACTACAAATGCAGTATACAATGATCTTTTCCACAATTTTTTAGTTTCCGCGATTTGTTGATTCTTCTTTTGTGATGGTAAATATACTGCCGCCTTTAGAGAGTACTGTGACATTAAAAGGTAACATGGTTGTTAGCATCTCCTCAAGTGATTAATCATCTTCAACATCTAATTGGAGGCCGGAAAGAAGGACGTTTTTCTCCACCATAAGGTCCTCAAATCCATTGTTGGTCACCATGGCCAATTCCAACTTAGAAGAATCAATAGAGATACCTTCTACCATTCCAGATTTCATTTCTTCAGGGACATCCACCTGCTGAAAGAGAGTAAAGCAAATAAATAACTATATTTCATTATTGCTATGATTATGCGCAAGAAATATACACTTCTGTATAAGCTTATAGTCTTCCCAAAAGGAGTCTATATTTAATATACTGTAATTAATTACTTTGACGTTCAGGAAAGTCAAATTATTAAGCGATGGACAGCTAGCAAAATGATAATATCTTGACCATAGTCATACAGAGATTGAATCATAAAATTAAATCTGTGTGATAAATCTGTGCAGTACGATAATTTATTTTGACATTTGTATTTCAAAAATCATTTTGACATGAAAAGTAATGTGTAATTTAATTAATTACATTGGACCGTCATGTAATGGTTATTTAATTATTTTGAAAATACCTGTAATGGCAATGCCATTTTCATAATGTAATTGTAATTTAATTAATTATATCATCATGTAATTGAACCCATGCCTGTTGCAAACAGTAGTTGTCCTAACTGATCCCAAAATTAACTTTGGCTACGTCTATCACAAAATTAACTTTGACTATGTCTATTACAAATGCCACATTTAGCTACAGTAGAGGTATTTCAAAACTGTACGTCATTGTAGCTGAAAGGACATAATTAATGGTTACTTAACCAGAACTACAGTTCTGAACAAACCACTACAAAGCCTGGTTAACTGTGCTAAGAAAATGTCCTCTCAATTAATCAATTTCATTGATTATCGACATCTTATTTGAAAGAGCTAGATCTACAATAGCACGGACAGTGACTGATATTTTAAAGTAAAATCGATATATTACACAGATAGATTCCTAGATCTATTCACGGTAGCGTAAGTAGTACAGTACAATATTACGGATAAGTTTTTTTCTGTTTAATTTCCGATCTGTTGGGCCACGGACAGAAGTAACTGCGATGATAACGAAACGATCATTCAAAAATAAATTCATTTCAAAACACTGAAATACTTTACGGAAGCAACAAAAATGTGCTAGATGCTTACATAACATTTTTCAAATGCATACTGCTTCAAAGGAAAAGTCTTGAAAATATTTTGAAAAAAGTGCCATAGCGGCAGTGCCCAGCTTGTGCGTCGCCGTCGAGCCTAAATTCAATACATGCAATTGCTTGTTCAGTATAAGTATTGACTTTAAATTCAGCTTATATATATATATATAGTGATACTTACTTACATCAAATACCCGCCATCTTCTTTCTGCCGCCGTCTTCTTTCAGGGTCCAGCAGCAAAGAGCACCCCGGCTGTTTCCGTCAAAATTTTATACTACTCTAAAATCATTCTTATTTTAGTTTCATTCTTATTTTCAACTACATATTTCAGTATTTGCAAAAGTTTTCAACAGTATTAACCAGGATGAAAACTTTCGAAAAAGAAAAAAAAGAAAGATATGACACCCACAATGCATCGCGCGGAAAAGAAAGTTAAGCCGCCATATTGGCATCGCCTCGCAAAATTTACCACCATAAAACGTGAGTCTTTGTAATTGTATTTACAAATTTCGATGTCTGATTATCATTAATATACAACACAAAACGTTTTCTTGATGTACAAGTAATGAAGAAAATGTCGATAAGGTTGTTTCATTTAATGACTAGCATCAGCAACTTGTAGGGGCGATAATCCAATGATTACGGTAATGTCCGGCAGATGGAGTAGGAGTAAACTTTCGATTTATGAACCAATGAAAACGAAGTACTGATACTCAGGGTCAGGGGCGACAGCAACATGCTGAAGAGCATTGAAAATATGCTCTTAGCATAAAAAATCGATATAATGCAAATGTCATTCTATTTTACAACTACGTGACTGACAGTAACACTACCTTTCTCATATTCGAGGTATTTACTTATCGATTTGTGTTGTTCGGTTGTATGATCTTACAGATTCACTGAAAACTTAAGGAACGCAAACTACTTTCGTTTTAGCATATATTTGCCATGCGCCAGCGGGCCCTTGTGGAAACGAAGTTGTGCGTCATTTTCAAAATTTATGCGGGATTGACGCGGGCGCACCGTCAATCTGAAGCTGTGTACATTCTCTGTGTTCCTTAATCTTTATTCTTACATCTTTTCTGAACAATTGAGTTTTTCTTTACATACATGTACACTAGCTGCCTCAAAAAAAACTTGTGAAATTCATTTCAAAGTTAGTGATGCATGTTACCATGACATTTTAATATATATAATCTACCAGTAGTGTGTATAAGTGATGGAAAGATAAAATTCCTAAATTTAACATTTTTGCAATATCTTCTGAAACTATGTTAAAACATAAATGTAAACAGACCCCCTCCCCCTCCCTGAATAAAATGGTAACAAATTCTACATTTTACAAAATTTTACAAAGAATGTATAAAAAAATAAACAAAAATACATACACAGACACATGTATATATCAACAACAGGATATGTAGAGTATTTATCTGTTAATATAAACTTAAATTGAGTATAATACACTCTATCAGCCTCTGTATATATATATATATATATATATATATACACCATGTATATATATATGCTACTGTATACCTACAAACAGAGTTACATATGTTATATCTATACAATCATATTACAGATGATATAGAGGTTCTCCAGCTTTCACCAACATGAAATACTCTGGGTATTGAATATTTTACAATATATGTATCTTTACATTGTAAATTCTATACTTGATTGTGATCACATATGTAGGTAGAGTACAGATATTGTATGAATACAGTACAATGTGTAAGTAATAAGGGAACTCAACCATGTACTGCTGAAATATCAGATATTTTGTTTAGTTTGAAAAAATGAAGAATTGGACTTTCAACAGCTTTACATATAGGTATGTTTGATGAACATGTATGCAACTACAGGGTAAATTCATAAATATAATGTTAAACAATGATATTATGCTGGTTTTGTTATAGAAATGATAATCCGTGTATAAATGTGTATGTATGATCAAAATAACCTTGACCTTTGACCTGATGCACTACATATGTAGCTTAATGAAATCAATTCAAACATCGCCATATTTGATTATGAAATGTTGGCTGTAAAGAAGATATAAAACAAATTTGATCATCATGACATTGACTTTTCTCCATGTGACCTTGATCCTGCACCTCAAGGCTGATGAAATTCATTACAGCAATATTTCATAGGTACACACTATTTCCCATTATGACTTAAACCTTTCACTTTGTACTAATAACCAGTGTATGAAAATATTTTTGAGGAACATTTGCCATAAGTATATGAGTTCTTAATAGTTTTACAATTCAGTATCATGGTCATAGGATTTTCATAAGAGGACATATCTGTGACCTTGACCCCCACCAGCTGCATACTGTAAATCACTTATATTTCACATGTATTATCTAAGTCTGGTATGAGTGATTATAATAACAATAGAAAAGAAATTATAAAAAGATATGATCAAATTTCTGAAAATATACGAGTAGATTTATTTCGCAGATAGTCACCACTTTGGTATTCTCTATACTTTCATTTTCTAGACACATATAGGCGAGAAGTTCCGAATGAGAATAGATTTGAAAGACTTCTTTCTCTCAGTAACAATTGTTTTGTGGGCTTTACAACATATAGAAATGTTAATCAACAAAGATGATGAACTATATTTTCTCTTTATGTTATCATTGAATATTCCATATATGCTAATTGATAAATGGAAGTGATTTAATTGTATTTGATGCAGAAAGAATGGGAGTTGGTTGTCTCTTTGCACTAACAGTTATATAATTTATTCGTTATTTTATTTTTGAATTCTGAATGATCTGACTAAGTTCAAGCATTCATGATCACAAGTCCATGAAAGAAAGAAACAGATCAATTTTAGGGTCATTTAATTGTTTGAACTAAAAGTGTTCAATGAAATGCTGTAGTAAAATTATTGTTGTTGTATAGAGTTATTATCTCCCTTTATTAGTCATAATTAGATTGCTAACAGCTGTCTCAAATTGTTAATGGAGGAAGGGTTTACTAAATGGACCAATTTTGGTCAAATTTATGATACTTTTCTACTTAAACATATATATTAAAAATTACTTATTGCACAAATGAATCCAAATGTATGGTTTTGTAGTTTGACACATCAAAAGGCATGGAATGAGAGTATATGAGGTCACTTCCATAATATATACCGGTATTCTGTAGATTTTTTCACTTCAGAGCTTTCTCTTTTGCATGTATCCTGAGGTGTGCATTTAGATTACTTTTCTGACGGAAAGCCTTACCACAAACTTCACATTCCATAGGTTTCTCTCCTGTGTGTATCCTGAGATGTGAAGTTAAGTTACTTTTCTGATTAAATGCCTTATTACACACATAACATTCATAAGGTTTTTCACCTGTATGTATCCTGATGTGTGATTGTAGGTTGCCAGATTGATTAAAGCCCTTACCACAGACATCACATTTGTACGGCTGCTCACCTGTATGCATTCTGAGGTGGTCTTTAAGGCTTGATAACAGAGGAAAGTCCATACCGCAAACATCACATTTGTATGGTCTCACGTTTGCATGTACTCTATAATGGATAGTTTGAACATCTGTTCCACTGAACTCCTTGCATAGACTACATGTGCATGGTTTAACTTTCTCTCCAAGATGTATCCTCAGATGAATATATAAGTGATCTTTCCGATTAAACTTCTTGTCACATACATCACAGTGGTATAACGTTTTTGCTGTATGTGCCCTTAGGTGTGTTTTTAAGTGACATGCTTGCTTAAACACAGATCCACACACATCACATTTGTAGAGTTTTTTTCCTATGTGCATCATTTCATGGACTTTTAATGTATTTGAAAGCCGAAACGTCTTTCCACAGACATCACATTTGAATGGCTTCTCTCCTGTATGTGTCATTACATGGTTCAACAATCTACTTCTGTGTACATACGCTTTACCACAGATATCACACACATGGGGTGTCTCCCCTGTATGTGTCTTGAGGTGTGTTATTACCCCGCTTGCTTGACTAAACTCTTTGCCACAGACATCACATCTGTAAGGCATCTCTCTTGTATGCACCCTTGCATGACACAGTAAGTGACTCTTCTTTTGGAACCCCTTATCACAGACATTGCATTTGTATGGATTTTCTCCATTGTGTATTTCGAGATGTGTTCCTAAAAGACTCTGCACTTGCAAATCCTCACATGGTTTCTCCATCTTTTGTGTTTGTGTGAGAGGATTACATTGCTGATTGAAATTGTTTTCACAGATATCACTTGGGCCAGACATCTCAACAGTATGACGTGTCTATGAATCATAAACCTATAAGGACTTTTCCCTGAAATCACTCTGTCTTTAAGAATTGGTTAAGGTTGCTATAACAGTTATTCAATTACAATGAATATCCCAATTTAAACATTTCTAACCTTGAACCTTCTTCATATATACATGTAATAGGCCCTGGTTGATGTGGCTTGTATATAGTGTTAAATAAAGATTCTGTCACCTAGCTGACAGAGCATGCTTCTTCGGGTCAGATGGTAGAGCTGGTTGATTTTCACACCAGAAACTCGGGTTTGATTCTTGGTCAGGGAACTCAACAGGGATGAGTATTTTCCCTGTTCTTTCACATATATTTCCTGATTAGATGACTCAGTGTACCATATTTACTAACATCACCGTTATGGGACTTAGCTGTAGTATTACACTATTTTGTGTACAAGTTGAATACTGTATATACCTCCAACTTTGCATTACTTCTTAGTCTATTTCATGCTGTAAAGACAACCTCATGTATTCTTTGCTGGCATATTTTTGTCCAAAATCCAGGATTAGTGCTTGTGGAACACTCTGAAAGTACAAAGAAATGAAATTAAACATTGAAAGAACTTACTTATTTCATCATCAACATTTAGATGTCAAGGATAAAAATAATGAATACTCAAACCTTTGTTGAATTAAGTTAGGCTTTATCTGGGAGACTTACCTGCCAAATATCATGCTTTCAGTCCTATTGGTGAATCAGAAGAAATTGTTTAAAGGTTTTAACAAATTTAGCCCCTGCAACCTTGAATATAGGTCAATCATTTCTTTTTACAAACTTTCACAAAATTGAGACACTGGGATTACGAAATTCACAATTACTGTAACATTCCTCAAGACCTTAAGACCTACGAGAAGTATTTACACAATATCTAAGTGTTGAAGAGAAGAGTCAATATGATCTCGTTTGGAAATGACCATCAACCCCTGAGGTTCAACCAGGGTCAATATGAGCAACAAACTGTCATCCCATTTATTTAGCTTTCTAATGATTTCAATAAAGTTTTAATTATTATCAGTGAAATGCTCAAAACTGAAATGTTCCTGTTTGAAATTTAAAAAAACTTTACTCCCTCCTGAAGAAGGAGTATGACCCTAGGGAAAATCTTTTGATTCTACCATAAATGGTTGCTGAGAACAACATTTTTGAACTTTGAGTTAATTTGATCACCTATGGAAAAGTCATTCAGGCTCCCGTGGGATGGGAACCCCATAAATCTTAATATTGTTTTATCTTATCCCACTGAAGATTTTCAAAAAATTTCATTGAAAATGGTGTATTAGTTTTCTAGAAGAATTCCAATTGTTATCTGGCTATGATGGATCACGCATGGTGGACGAGGCCACTCACAAGAATCAAGAAAAGAAACAGTTGTAAAAGGGCACCATGAGACTAAGCATTTGTAAAATAGTGATAACAAACTTTCATAGTCGAAATCCAAGATGGCGGTCTTTCAGACATTTATTTTTCTGGTCAGTTCCCAAATGGCAGTACTTCTCTGGAAATAATAACAAATTACAATTATAAAAGAATGACAAACTGTTGACAATCTTTTTTGGCGATCCATCTCAATGAAAAATAATATGTACAAATAGGAACCAAGGCGAACGTACCTTGAAATTTAAAAATAATTCATCAAACACGTCCCTGAAAGCATCAAACTATCATTACTCCGAAAATTCAAGATGACCCCTATCTGCCTTATCATTTTTCGGATCAGGCCCAGAGTCCGGTATCATATTTTTATCCACCATCAGAAAAGGATCACTTTTTCCTCATCAGAAAAGGACCCGGGGATCGCTTTCCCCATCAGAAAAGGATCCCCCTATAGTATTTTGATCCCTCTTGTGAATTTTATTTTAAACTTTATAGCTTTATAAATAAAATGAGATATGATAGGTAACTGTGTCTGGGACTTGGTCACTGATACCTGGGTTACCTGTACATGTGTGATTACTTAACACCTGTGGAGCCAAGGCTGAAGAGGTCAAGCTCCAGATTACCCTGGACAGGTAGTGATTGACAGGGGCTTAAATGATGACTGCATACATAATTACTCTATACATAACCTGTCCCAAATATACTTCATGGAAAATAAGTTTATGGATTCAATGGAGAATTTTTATATACATGTATGCATGTAGACTTCTGCATATATATGTGTGAAGGGAAAATTAACAGTTGACCTGAAAGGATATGTTTTGATGAATGAGAGATTTTAGGGTCAATAATCATAAACAGAAAGAGACGTACAATAAGAAAGTAGTATTTTTAAATTGAAAGGGAGAAAATTAGTTACAATTAATGTCGAAATTATAAATACAAAGTTTACAAACAATATACAATTCTGAACATGTATGCAGAGTGGGAAATTAACACTTAGTAATGTATATATAATTAGTTTACTCTAACATATCTATAAAACTTTGAGGTAACTATATATTTATATATAAGAAACCATTGTATAGCTTCTAAGGTAAAAAGGAAAGAATTATTTACCAATAATGTACACTAAGACCCATTTTTATTAATCAAGTCACTTACAGGAAAGAAGATGCAACATACATGGCTGCATGTATACATGCATAATATTTTTGTGATATGAATATCTTTTAATTGTATATATATTTAGTTATTTCAAATTTCTATTTAATCAAATATTAATTAAAGGCCTATGTTTCGGCAAATATCAATTGTTTTCTCATAAAAACAAGGGCGTTTTTACATAAAATTAAATCCCTAATGATCCAACACACGTACATGTATAGCATGCATAGTTTTTTTCACTTAGATAACTGTAAAGCAATTTATTTGCAATTTTTAATATTCATGCAAATATGAATATATTAATATTAAAGTGGAAAATGTTTATTAAACACAGCTTTTATGTAAAATATATATAAATATATATAAACTTTATTTGTTTTACAACAATTGCGAAACAAGTTATTTAAACTTATACTAATCACTCTTGTTGGCCCGGATGTAAGCGCGCGAGGGGCCTTATTGTGGGAGGAAACCGGAGTACCCGGGGAAAACCCACGCGGTCGGACAGGTGACCCCTTACCTTTTCACGTCCGTTCCGGGAATCGAACCCCGGTCGGCTAGGTGAAAGGCGAGTGCGTTAACATTTTATGTAAAATGATGACCTCAATCAATCTGTAATGGAATTTATCCACAGGTAATTTTAATTGATCACTCGGTGTACCTGCACATGGGTGCTCACTCAGGTTTGACCTCTCTACCCTTAATCCTCTTATGTAATTGACTGGTTGGCCAGGTATAATTAACAACTTCATAGCTAACATAACACCTATCATCATATTTTCGCTGTCACCTTAAATATATGCATCTATGCATTGTTAATATAACTTCTCTTAAGGGGGATCAAAATACTATAGGGGGGGGGGGTCATTTTCTGATGGCCAGAAAAATTATCTGGATCCTTTTCTGATAGGGGATCCAAATATGATAAGACAGGGGCAATGCAAAACTAAGGATCAAGATAAACCTTCACATGAATGATCCATCAAGTACATCTTGAGAAATGATGATCATAAAATATTACTGTCAAAATCCAATATGGCCACCTGACAGTCACTCTGCTTTTTTGTATGATTTGTGATTAAATTGGACACAGCTTGGGACCAAGTGGAACTTGCATATGAAATTTAAAAAGGATTCATCTTACACTCAAGTATTAGCCATAACAAGAATTGTAAAGGACAAATGGATGACAGACCCTGGACCATGGATGAATTGAAGGACGATTTGAATGGCCTGTCATCTGATGATGGTAGTAATACCACGCAAAGGGTCCATACATTGTTATATAGTGACCAAACAGCTGGTGACAACCAGTTTTATGGTCACTCCCAAGCTGGTCATTACGCATTAAAGATGTTACATATAATTTCGTTTATATTCTACTGATGCTTTTGCGTTCTGCTACTTCTATTTCGCTGGAGAAACGTCATGAAATATTGGTTAAAATACTGTACATCCTGTTAAATCCGCTGTATTTATATTATAAATCCGGTAACTAGTTATACCGATATCATGTAACCCAAGTGTCCCAACACAAACAATCGCTGGCCAAAGAACTTTTAAAGGATGTTGATGTGTGATTTATGTTACTGCGACTTCGTTTCTCTAACTTTACAGTATGTTAACATTATGTATGTGGATTGGAAAAAATAAGGATCATCGATCTCGATTCTCGATAAGCTCTATGACGTTGACCGTGTGGCCTTTCTTCGTCAAAGACATATCCTCAAATAACAATAGAATGTATACGTTTAACATTTAAAGCAGTCAATGATATTAAAACTGTTATTGATGACGCATGAGAAACAAATTAACCTGGTGATTCTGCTGAGGCTCCACAACTGTGGACCTCTCTTCGTGTACATACCACTTCTGCAACGATCTTTTTAAAAGCGTCAACAAGTGACAAGAAGCGTACGTTTCGTAAAGCGTCTTTAGAAGAGAGAGCTTGGACAGGGTAAGATTAATTACCGGAGGGGACTGAAATAATCAGAGCGTCACAAAACTATGTAACAACATACACCACAAAAATAAAAAAAAAAAAGAATAAAAAATGAAATCCTGTTTCTGGTTTCTTCACAAAAATAATTAGGGACCTTAGATTTGTTTAATATGCTTGCTAGCTTTTTGACACTAACTATAAGCACTACATATGGCTGACAGATATACGTACCATTGTGTCTGGTATGTTTAGTGTTGCCTGTATGTAGATAATTGTCTAGTCCGAAGAGTTCTGACCAACTATCCATGATGTTATTGCTGTCTTGATCGGCCGATAGCCAACGTTAACTCGTCTGTCAATTAATTAAAAAAATACCTTGCTATGACTGGTAGACCTTATAGTCGTTTTTTTTTAATTTATTGTTTTTTTTACCGTTTTTTCTAAATATCTATAAAATTTCATCAATTCATGTATTCGCTTTAACAATTTAACTATTTAACTCCAAATTACACTTTGTGACGTTGTCGGTGTTGTCAGGGAACACTGCCGGGTATCCTTTTTTGAAGGTTCGTGTATATGTCTGCATGGTTGTACCAGGGACGTATACGTCCCTATACGTCCCTGGTTATACATTGCAAGTTGTAATCATAAATAATGTATACCCAACAATTTCCGCTAGTTTGTAATTTTCCTTTCTGTTAAGAATATTTTGTTTTACTTTACTTTTTTTTGTGTTGAAAAAAAACTTTTTTCTAACTTTCTTTTGTTAACGACCTTGTGTACAAGTACACAACTGACGCAAATGTCTATTCCACACAGAACCTAAATGAACAAAAATAAATCGCGCGAATTTTAGCACGTGCATTCCTTAAATCCTCAATGCTGTTTTTGATATTCTAGATTTTTGAGAACTGAAATTCTGATTCTTAGTGGACAAAAACACATCGAACTGTAAATCCTGTGTCAGGGTGGAATTTAATTGACAGTCTGACTAGAGTCACAGAATAATGAACAGAAAAAATGGGAACGCTAAATAAGGTAACTTGTCCTACCCAATAATTATATAATCTGTTCAGGGGAAATTGTTAGGTTTATTTATCAGAACTCAACCTTTGTCCATATCATACACTGACAGAGGCATTTTTATAATTATTTATTTCACGGTGACTAAATAGTATTTACGTTAATTAAGCAAAAGGCCCTAGGCCTGTCCACCTGGGTCGAAGCTTATGTTTGTTTTGTCTTCTTAGCTGCAATAAGCTAAAACCGAGAAATTTTACGGTTGAGTGCAGGTGCGGCATACAAGTAGTCACCCTCTGAAAAAAAATCGCCGATTAAGAAAATATAGAAAACAAAATCAATCAATTGAAAATATCAGATTTTTATAAAGTTTAGATATATGTATATATAAAATTTAAGATTAATTAGATTTTTATTCGCGAAATGTTGATTATTTTTTCATTTTTCTAGTACGCGTATCGGGCCGGGTACAACGTACACAATTTTCACCCACCATCTTTGATTTCTTAGCTGAAGTTATAGAAATTGATCTGCAATAGTAATGATAGCATCGGTAGCAAATCGATATGTCATATTTAAGCGAACAGAAATTCAAGCATGTACTTGATGGAAATGCTTGTAATTATCTGAAGGAAATTTCAATATATACCGGATGGAAAGTCAAGAGTGTACTTGAAGGAAGTTCCAGCGAGAACCTGAAGTAAATTTCAGCATGTTCTTGACAAAAATTCCTGCATGGACCCGACGAATATTCAAGAATTTACTTGACGGAAATGATAGCATGTTACTGAATAAAATTCTAGCATGGGAATTCCAGTATACAATGTATACCCGAAGGAAATTCTTACATGTACCTGACAAAAATCCGGCATAAATAGGAATTTCCAGGATGTTCCTAAGCAAAATTCCAGTATGAAATTGAAGGAAATTCCTGCATGGAAATTCAAACATGTACTTG